CAAGTAGGAGATGCGGAGCAGATATCCACACCTATTTGAGACCCCAGGTATGTTTCTAGACCCGTTCGAGGATGAACTTTTGTTTAAGAGGGGGGTGATGTAACGACCCGACCGGTCGTTTTGAGAGATGTAGCCCCGTTCCTCCATTTCCTACTTCTTTTGTGATCTACAACGGTATTATGACTTACCGGGTTAGTTGGTTCGGGTCCGGAGTGATTTCGAAGTGAATTGAGAAACTTAGTCTCTTAATCGAAAGCTTAAGTTGGAAAAGTTGACCGGAATGTTGACTTATATGTAAACGGCCTCAGATTTGAATTTTGATGGTTTCGTTAGCTCCATTAGTTGATTTTGGACTTAGGAGCGCGTCTGAATTGTGTTTTGTAGGTCCGTAGTAGAATTAGGCTTGAATTGGCGAAAGTTGGAATTTTGGAAAGTTTAACCGGGAGTGGACTTTTTGATAACGGTGTTGGATTGGATTTCCGGAAGTTGGAGTAGATTTGTGGTGTCATTTATGACTTGTGTGCAAAATTTGAGGTCAATCGGGCAAGATTTGATAGGTTTCGACGTCGTTTATAGAATTTGGAACTTTCAAAGTTCATTAGGCTTGAATCCGTGTGTAATTCGTGTTTTGGTGTTGTTTGAGGTGATTTGAGGGTTCAACTAAGTTTGTATGATGTTTTGGGACTTAATGGTATGTTTGGCTGAGGTCCCGGGGACTCGGGTGAGTTTCGGGTGGTTAACGGATCATTTTTGGACTTTGGTTGATGGCTGATATCTGTTGGTGTGATTCTTCTGGTTTCCTTACACGCGATCGCATGAGTGTGTCTGCGATCGCGTAGGTCTATTGAGGGCAGCTGGGGAATTGTTCTATGCGATCGATAGTGGAGGTACGTGATCGTGGAGGTTGGTGAGTCTGGACATCGCGTACGCGAAGAGAGGTCCGCATTCGCATAGAGTACTGGGTCAGGAGTTGGGATCAGGTGATTCCTCTATGCGATCGCATAGTTACGGACGCGATTGCATAGCTTTGGTTAGTTAGTTGTACGCGATTGCAGAGGCTGTTACGTGTTCGCGTAGGGTATAAGTGTGGGGCAGCATAGTTGTGCTTCGCGATCGCGAGGTATTTTCCGCAATCACGATGAAGGCGTATCTGGGCAGATTTAAAAGATTCAAAACGAGGGTTTCGAGTTCATATCATAAAATTTAAGTGGGAGCTCGGTGGAAGACGATTTTTGGAGAGATTCTTGCGTGGGTGTTTGGGGTAACTGATTCCTATCTAATTTTGGTCAAATTTCATGATTATGTCTTTAATACCATCATTTAATTTGTGATTTGGGGTGGAAAATTGGGGAAAAAAAGTTAGTGTTCTTGAGATGGATTTGTGAGGTTTTGATGGGATTTTGTTATCCGATTTGAGTAAATTTGGTATGGTTAGACTCGTGAGTGAATGGGCTTTCGGGTTTTGTGACTTTTGTCGGATTTTGAGACAATGGCTTGGGGACCGAGTTCGGGCCGATTTCAGATTTTTGGCTATAATTTAGTACTCTTCTTGTGGAATTGATCCCTTTAGCCTATAGTGATTGTATTGAACTACTTGTGGCTAGATTCGGACATTCGGATGCCAACTCGCGAGGCAAAGGCATTTTAGAGCACTGTTTTGCTCGGATTGAGCTAAGAAACAGTTTCAAATATGGTCCTGAGGGTATGAAACCCCGAATTTTCGTGTCATGTGATTATTTTGGAGGTGACGCGCATGCCAAGTGACGTGCGTGTAGGCGTGCAACGAGGGGACAGTGACTTGGTCCGTCTAGGAAAGTTGTTAAGTTGAATAACTTGTTGTTAGCTATATGTTTCTCCCAATGTTATAGAAATCGGACTGAAATCCATGTTATAAATCATGCTTAGACTACATGATGTCACTATTGGGACCCGCTAAGGTCGTGTACTTGTTGAATTAGATGCTATTTATTGTCTTGTACTCAGTGATAATTTTTGCGTATCATATCTCCGTCTTTTCTTATTCCTTGTTGATACATGTTATTATCTTTGTTTGGGCTGATTTATATGATTTCTGAGAGCCCGAGGGACTGGAGAGGTTGGTGACCAAGATTGGGCCTGAGCGTCGAGCTGTGAGCCGTTTGTATATATGGATCGGGTTGCACGCCGCAACGAGCCTGAGGGCTGAATGTATTTATGGATCGGGTTGCACGCCGCAACGAGCCGTATGGCTATATATATTTTTTTATGGATCTGGTTGCATGCTGCAACGAGCCTGAGGGCTGAATGTATTTACGGATCGGGTTGCACGCCGCAACGAGCCGTATGACTATATATATTTTTTATGGATCTGGTTGCGCGCCGCAACGAGCCTTATGGCTATTTATATATTTGGATCGGGCTGCATGCCGCAGCGATATAGAGCTTAGGCTGAAGGAGCCACTCCGGAGTCTGTACACCCCCAGTGAGAACAAGTACCTACAGAGTGTGAGTACTGAGGGCTGAGAGCCGAGTGATTGAGCTGTTTAGGAGAGTTGAGTGATTGTTATCCTGAGAGGTTGTACATGTTTTCATTTGTTATTGCAGTTGGTTGCTATCTATCATTGTTTTCAAATTTTCTGGAAGATTTGTATCCGGTTTTTACTTGAACGTGAAACTGTATAAAATTGAATTGACTTAAATTGTCGAATTTTAAATCATGTCTACTCCTTGCTGAAATTACTGAAAATGAACTATAACTGTGTAGCTCGTCACTGTCTCCAGTTCCTTATTTATTATTGTTACTTGCTGAGTTGGTTGTACTCACGCTACACCCTGCACTTCATGTGCAGATGCAGGTGTTTTCGGACACGGTGGGAAATGATCTCGTGCTCGGTTGGTTGTTGGAGATTTACGAGATAGCTGCCCGGCGTTCGCAGTCCTTGTTTCTCCCTCTTTGATTTCTCCTCTATTTGTATTTGATACAGACTGTTGTAGACAATATTTCGCAGACTGGTTGTTTAGTTTGTTCATGACTTAGTGACACCCCGGTGTCGGGGCTATTTTTCCGCATTTTTATGAAAAACTCCGGTTATATTAAAATGTCTTAGTTCATTTCTGTTAAATGTTGAAAGTGTTTTGGCTTGCCTAGTACCACGATAGGCGCTATCACGACGGGTTAGGTTTTGGGTCGTGACACTTTCTATCATTTTATTTAGGCACAATAGCCTGGGAGACACTTGTACTTATTCCGGTTTGTCATCCCGGTCCCTACACTTCATAAAGTTTCATTCAGACACTTCAACTTAATCAAAACAAGACTTTTAAACCCTTCTGACCGTTGACCGAGCTTATGTGGCATTAATATGGCTGAAGTGGACAAAATGAGTGATTTACACGCACATTAGGTGCGCGAGCTGATGATTCTTTTTTATTAAAAAAATAAAAATTAATAAATAAATAAATAAAAATACACTAGCAGCGCCTCCCCCTTCATTCTGCACCCCCTCCCCCCCCTCTCCTCTTCTTCTTCGCATCCCTCCCCCTTCATTCTGCCCCCCTTCCCCCCTCTTATTCTTCTTCAGACCCCCCCCCCCTTCGTTCTGAACCCCCCTCTTCTCCTCATCTTCTTCTTTAGATCCCCTCCCTTCCCCTTTTTCTTCATCCCTTCTTTTATTAGATTTTCTCCTTGGTGTGTATTTCTTCTTCCATCATGTCATCTTCCCCTTCTCTTTGACTCCTCCATTTTTTCCGGTGATTTTAGCTTTCAAATTTTTTCACAGCCCTTCCAAATTGGGGTAGAGGAATAAGTCAAAATTCAAAAGACTTAATTCTCTACTCATGTATTTTTCATGGATAGATAACTTTCTTTAAAAGAGGAGTGAAGGAAGTAGTGGTATTCATGGTGGAGGAGCCATGGTAGGTGGGTTATTCTTTTAAGAAGGTTGAGTGGGGTTTGAAGAAGGGATGAGGGGTTTTCTTTAATTTTAATTTTAATTTTTTGCTTTTTTTATTTTATTTTTTGTTTATGAAATTAAAATTTTGTTAAATAATATTATTTTGGCGTAGAATCTGATGTGGATGCTGATTTATTATCCACGTCAAGCAAGTGAGCATCACACGATTCCGGAGGTGTTTAAAAGTCTTGTTTTGATTAAGTTGAAGTGCCTGGATGAAACTTTATGGAGTGTAGGGACCGGGATGACAAACCGGAACAAGTACAAGTGTCTCCTGGGCTATTCTGCCTTTTATTTATGTGTAATCTGGACATGATAACACATGTTGATTTGACATGAATTGGTAAATGATAAGAATGTAGGTCATATTTTAAATTCTTAAAAAATGCTTAAAATGGCAATTTCCCAAATTTGGTCGCAGTTTTGGAAATTGTGATTTTAACGGTCTTTGATTGATCTAAAATTTGGTAGGTTTATAAGAAACAACCCAGTGATTAATACTCACTGCAACACAGTGAAAAATATTAATTTTAGCGTTTTAAGACTGTTTAGAGTGAGCATTCTTTTATGTATAAAGTTATGTATTGATCTTTTTTAAAACGCATACAGGTACATGCACTCCATTAGGTTTTTATTTATTTTAAATGAGATCATTTGCAGTTCAAGTTGACTTTTTTTTGGTGGTAAATAAACACTTCAAGCTAACTTATATGATTTCTTTGTTAGATTCAAATTTAATCTTTTACTATTTTAGCATTTGGCACTTAAATATTAATTTTTACGTCAATGAGCGATTAAACCAGACCAAATATAAGGCATAAATACCGTTCATTCACTGAAAATAAAATTAAAATCATAAATAGTACGAACTTAATTGATAGTTTATCCATACCGAGCTATTGCTAACAATATGGCTAAATCTACATCAATTATGTCTGTATAAGATAACAACAAATACTTAAAACAAAACGACGATTATGATAGTTGAAATACTAGAGAACTATTAAATTGAAGTAGATCCACTAGCCCTATTAGAACCAAAGGTGAATCCTGGAGCCTTGCTTTGAGCTAGCCACGAAATTCAGATGGCCTAGCATTCGAAGAGCTCTCCGTAGCCCCCCCATAAGGAGCCAAGGCACTTCCAAGGGTACGATATGGAAATGCAATACCTTGCACCTTTTGCTGGTGTTCCGCCTCTATTTCACACTGCTTCTTTATCATTTCCATTGCCTCCGCCACTTCTCGAAGTTGAAAAAAGTTGAGATTTTCAATTGGAGCTTTCCACCAACGCTCGTCTGGAGTAGCATCCCCCCAGGTTCTTTGTAAGGCTTTTCCGTGTCTTCTCTCCATTTCCAAAATCCCCTCTTTATCAATCAACTCATCCATATTGACCTCACGAACATTAGCATTTCGATGTGCCTCAATAAGATGGTTAGGAACATCAATATTGGGTTGAGAATTCTCTGTGACGAATCTATCTATGACCAAATCCACAGAAGGGTGGCCAAATGAGTAAACTTTGTTTCCAGGAGAAAAACCCACTAAGGCAACTTCAGCACCATTTAGTGTACAGAGTTCACTAGCCTTCTTGAAGAGGCCAAATTGTCGTTTGGAGAAAGTCACTTGTAAGTTTCTCTCGTTTTGTATCTTCACCATGTCCATTTTTTTGCGTCCGTTACTCTTTCTTCCCATGGCTAAAATTATGATTTTAGAAACTAAGAGAAAGGTGATTTTGGATTTCAGCACTAAGAGTTTATTTATAGCGGTAAAATTATTTCATTGTTTGAATGACAAAGAATTCAAATAACCAGGGAATCAAACACTTTTATATTAATTCCTTTTCTAGAAGGATTTGAAACAAATCCGGGCCCCATTCTTTGTTTCTTTTCTTTAATAGTCAGTGCTAATCCTAAATGATCATAATTAGACAATACATATTTTACTTTATTAGAATTATATCTTTGGATTGCACTTAAGCTACCAGTTATTATTTTGTTAAGAAGTTAAGGAAAAGTAATAAAAATAATGAGTACCTTTTATGCGAGGGTGAGAAAAGTTTTGCTGTACGCCATTCTTTTATGGTATAAGTTTTAGTATATTCATATATAAAAAGATGGCAATTTATGAAGCAAAGTTTCTTTTCCTTATAGTGCTTGTGCATTCTAAATTTACTCTACTTTTTTATATGGATATCTTCATATATTCTTGGGATTTTTTTCCTTCCTATACCATATATGAAACCTTATTACCAAAAATGTGCATAATTTGTTAATTACCCGCTCAGTCCACACTTTAACTACAATTTATATACCAATCCATAATTAGGCAGATTCTGCCATTTAAAACGCGCGAAAAAAAGGCACAAAATCTACGCTTGATTCTTTCCACATTAAATTCGAAATTTGAAACGGAAAGAGATCTGATTGCTGCGTAATTCTCTCTTTCACTACAATTCAAAAACAACGCAGAGCTTCAGAAGCTTCAACAACGCAATACAAATTGTAGAATTCAAAATTATTCTTCGTCGTCCTCAGTACTCAAATTGTCGAACCTATATCTGTTCTTCATCTTTTTTCTCTCAACTACACGAAATCATGTCAAAAATCCCAATAATGCTAAAATTGAATGGGAATTAGGATAACTATGGCAGATTTAGAGATTTTGAAGTTGATGCCATTGTGGTAGATGAGAATGCAGGTTTGTGTAGTTCGAAAATGCTTAGAATTTTAGTTTTATGATATTATCTACAAATTTACTACATATATCTACAATTTGACTACAAGTTCTTTATTTGGTGCGGGAAAAAAATATTTTAATATACAATGTCTCCAGATTGTAGATAAATTGTAGGCAAATTGTAGTTTACTTGTAGTTTGTAGTTAATTTGTAGATAAATTGTAGATAAAATGTAGATATATTGTAGATACTATATTTTTAATATTGTAAATTTTTTTTCTTTGTGTTTGTTCTGAAAATGTAGGTGAGGACTTCAACAGATCATATACATACTGTGTTGGATGGTGTGAAGCGGTACATTGTGTGTCTATAAAACAAGAAATGTAGTTGTTGCCAATTCCAACTTGAAGAACTTCCATGTGTAAATTGTTTCCAGATTGTAGTTATAATGTAGGTTAAATGTAGTTAATTTGTAATTTTTGTAAAATTTTGTAGACAATTTGCAGATTAATTGTGGATAACACATTTCTACGATTGGAGTATTTATTTCTTATTTTTTGTTGTGTAATTTATATTCAACTGACAGTTATATACAAATGTTACATAGAACATGGAGGTAAACATCTAAAAATTACCTACAGTTTAAGTACCTAATATAAGAATAACTACAGTGAATGTACAAATTACCTACAGTTTAAGTACCTAATATAAGAATAACTACAATTTACCTACAGTTACAGGGCAAACAGGAAACACATCATCCACAATCATGTCTACATTATATCTACATTTTAGACTACAATTAATCGTGGAATGTTCTACAAAAACTACAAACTAACTACAATTACACTACAAACAGTAAATCTAGGTGAGGGCTTCAACAGATCATATCCATTACACTAAATGTACAATTACACTACAATTACACTGCAATTACACTACAAATACACGACAAACAGTAAATCTAGGTGAGGGCTTCAACAGATCATATCCATTACACTAAATCTACAATTACACTACAATTACACTATAATTACACTGCAATTACACTACAAATACACGACAAACAGTAAATCTAGGTGACGGCTTCAACAGTCAGTATTTCTAAGTCGTTTGGAGAAGTTGTCGGCAGCTTTTCATATTAGTCTCTTTACCAATAAATTTCTCATTTTTGACTTTTCCAGAAGAGGGAATTTTGTTTGGTACCCAAAAATAATTGTTGCAGTGGAAATTGGCACGACATTCAAATATAATGAGATTTCGCTGGCTAATGCATCTCAAGGACATCTTTCGTTGATTGATCTTGCAATCGTGGATGAAGAACAATAAAGAATGTGGGGTATGGGTAAAAACGTGGGTGAGGGGGTGAGGGGTAAGGAGAGAGAAACGTGAGATATATGGATACCTTTAATTAAGGAGTAAAAACTGCCCATTAATTAGATATGGATACCTTTAATTAAGGAGTAAAAACAGCCCATTAATTAGACCCTTAATTAAGCATGGTATAGAAATGGTAATTTGGTATACTAAGTGTAATTTACTCAAACCTTAAACATGTAGGGTAAAAAGGTTTCCTATGTGGTATAGGAATATAAAAATTCCTCTATTCTTAGGTAGTCTTGCTTAGTAAAAGGCTGTCCATTATAAACTTTAAATATGTTAAAATATTTACACTCTTACTCATATAGTATAGATTTTTTGAGAAATTTAATAAAAATCTTAAGATAATAGAGAGTAATTTAGAGCCTTTACAAACTCGTAAATCCTAATCGTAATACTTATGGCAAGTGAAAGAAATTTGTACAACTAAATCCTAAAATCTAGGCATAATTATCGAATAACATTAATCTTTATAAACCTCTTAAAACGCCGTTCAAAACCTAACGTGATAAATAGCAAATACAAGAATAATACATATTGGTGTTGGTTATACATGAATTATTACTGACCATGTTTCTCCATTTAAACTCATTTCAGACCACCATATGTTATAATACAAAATAAAAGAATAAAAATTTAAAATAATAACTACTACATGGTTCTTTATATTACGCGAGACAATATATCTTCTAAATATTAGAGTAAGTTCTGGCAATTTAAACATATATACTATCATCAATACAAGATGGCTCTTTTATCAAGAGAGTTCCTGCCCTAGGTAACTCAACACTAGATTTGAAAACTTTAACGTAAAAAAATTGTACAACACTATTTTGGAAGGCAGATAATTGATGATGCTGCTACCACAAGCGTTGCACATTGCTACAGGGAACAAAACCACTGGGCGAATGCACTAGCAAACGAAGGAGCCACAGAAGTAATTTTTTGAAAGGATAAGACTTTTGGTAGTTCTTCTTGTGATTGCCAATGACATGGTATGGGTAGACGTACTAGGAACTACATTTCAATGAAAATTTCGACAAGTAATATCAATAGTGTGACCTGATTAATGTATGATATGGATTAAACCTTGTTTACATCAACGACATAAGTCTTTTAGACAAAGTGAAAAATTACACCTTTTAATCATAGTTGATATTAATGTTCTTCGTAATAGGTGCTCCCAATTAAAATTTGATATATGTTATGTTATGTAAAGAAGGCTAAGGCCATATGTTCAATATTCAATGAATATTTTAACTCTTGAAATGCTTTATGACTTATGAAATGCCTTTTTTTTTTTTTTTTTAAATTTGAGTTGCATGATATATATTGAGCATATTGTATATATTTTGATATTAGTTTACTCATAACCGATCTGAATGTATGATATGTTAAATATGCCCCCACTATACTTAATTACTGATATTACACCAATTGCACGTGTGCTATTTATATGCTAAGAGAACTAGTTGAGGGAATTGGCCGACAAAGAAAGAGCAACTGAAAAAGATATAAAAGAAAGCCTTATTGGGAAACAATATTTGAGAGGGGCAAATGATGGCTTGACTATTACATTTTATGTTCGCTTTTAACTTTTGTTTGATTGCCTTAATTTGTTTTCCTAGTTGTAATTTTATTTATTATTTTATTTAATCGAAAGAGGAACATTATATTAAATATTGTTGTAACGCATAACTCTTTCATTGATTTAATTTCCAAAATCATGTAAACTAAATGATTTAAATTTCTCTGTGTAAAAGTCGAAAACCTAGTGTGTATATATAATTTATCAATTCTCACAAGATAGTAACGTAACTATCCATACATGCACTTTAATTATTTCATTGAGTTCAAAAGAATTAGTAAAAGGTAGCTTTTTTCATTTATAAAGTTGAAGAGAAATAAATAGCACGTGCCATATTGTATGACATCTTTGTATGGTCATTCTTATTCTCTTTTTTATACGCGTACGTACAAGTACACGCAGCCATGCACTCCATTAGGTTTTCACACGCGATCATTCACACTTCAGGCTTAACTTACATGGCTTCTTTTTTTTTTTTTTTTTTAAAAATCCACTAGGCACTAGTTTTATATATATCTAAAATCAAAAACAGGACATAGTGTCAGGTGGTCTTACACAATGAGAGAAATAGCCTTTGACTATTACATGACTCCTATTACCAATATTGAGCAAGGAGCTCAACATTGATATCGCATATGATCTACTATAAGCATTGAAAGAAAAAACTAGCCCATTAAAGTCAATACACTTCATAGGCAGCTGCACCTTGTCCATCTTATACCAAAATCCTTCTGTGAGATTGGCCACTGCCCAGCATGTACACGCATGGCCTCCTTGCTTGTGTTTGCGTTGAATTTACATTTTCTCTTGATTAGCCACTGCCCAGAATAGGATCAAATATGTATTTCCCTGAATGATCAATGAAACAATGCATTCTATCACCATCAGATGTAATGAGTACATTTGTCCAGCAATTGCACTTCTTTTGCCATTAGTTGCGCATGACATCCTTTGATCCTTTCGTGCAATCATTGCACAAAAACTTTCCTGAGGTATCCTCGACGATATCGATATTAGG